TAGTAATTGTTGTTTTCACAGTGTCTAGCATTTTATATTAAAGCTTACACCTGTTGTCACGCTACGTTACATTTGTAGTGTGATGTGTTTTAGTAATTGTTGTTTTCACAGTGTCTAGCATTTTATATTAAAGCTTACACCTGTTGTCACGCTACGTTACATTTGTAGTGTGATGTGTTTAAGTAATTGTTGTTTTCACAGTGTCTAGCATTTTATATTAAAGCTTACACCTGTTGTCACGCTACGTTACATTTGTAGTGTGATGTACTTGCAACGATAAAAGGTATGTGAATATATTCAGGGTTTTGTAATAAAAGGTATGTTGCACTACTGCGTATGTTGCACCACTGTTTTCCTCTCATGATAATGTGAATATTTCCTACCCTATTATCAAAATAAAGGTTATAAATTTTATTAAAAAAAAATCCAAAAGGCAGCTCATTATGAAGTAGAAATCCCTAGGAAACCAGAAAATTTAGGTTCGGTCATCTACACGCCCAAGACGTTTGTCATGCAACCTAAGTGACATCTGACACTTTCTCAGCGCTGAAGCTTGAGGATGACAGCGCATTTGAGAAAAACTGTGAGAACAAGTACGGAAACTGAGAGGTTGGGCTTCTTTGAAAATGGCTGCTTATGAGCAAACATTGCGAACAAAATTTGATGTTCTTTGCAGTGGTCAATTGAGTTGGAACTACCAAAAAAAAGGAAAAAAATGCAGGAAAAGAAAATTTGTCTAAGATAACATCTTGCAAATTCACGTATGAAATTGATGTGGAAAGACTTGCATGTTGATTTTCAAATTGCTAGTAGAATGCTAGCTAGCATCAAGAAACAAGATGTAGACATCACACTAGTTTCAAGATAAAAAAGGAAACAGAAAATTACCCTAAAATATCGCGTCACACGGAAGGTAGAGGGAACTGGAAAAGTAAAGAACAAAAACAACCATGAATATCTCCTAATATGAAATCTCATTAAGGTACAACACATCAAAGACGACAACCTCCAAAAAGACTCATTTTCAGTCTACAACATCTCTATATTCATCGAGGCATATAAAAGAAAACACAGCACAATCTTTTTACAAAATAAACTATGGTTAGACAAATGAATAAGGCAAGAAAATCGTGATGATAGTTGGAACCTATTGGTATTGATAAAACATGATGGTTTTATTTCTGCCGGTGCTATGACTGGGTGGATCCATAAAAATAATTTTCTTCAATCTGGCTTGGAAATCAAACAGGAGGAAAACAAAATGCCATTGTGATGGCTTCTCGTAAAAAGTGCCCAAATTGAAATATCTATGGAGTTAATCTTGCACAAAGGCGCCAATATGCTCCAGGATGAAAGAGGGATCTCTCAAATACCCAAATATCACGTACCAGCACCTGCAGAATGCAAGCAGTACTCTCAATAGTTACTGAAAAACGCACAAATACAAAAGAAGAAAAGGGGTAGAATTTTCCATTTCGCTATAAGTACAAAGCCTTCTCCAAATACAGCTAATACGTACTGGGTTATAACTTGATGTATCCTGCCAGTAGGATAAAGGTCGAGTTCCCTAATATTGCGAGAGTAGTTGTTTACTATTGTTTAATCTCACATTGATTAGGGACAAACTTCTTTGTTTCCTTAAACACTATAAATAACATTCTAGAAAGAGCTAATAAACTCACTAGGGTTTTCCTACTTACATGGTATCAGAACCAACTCTAGTTTGAAACTTGTTGGCCACAAATTTAATGCGGATTTAAAAAAAAAATTGTTACCGCTGCGTGAGTCTAGGTTTCAGCCCATTAAAAAAAGACATTCAACCTGCGGGGGCATATTAGAATATAAAACAATAATCCTCGAGCATTATCATAACTTTGGAGTTTTGTATTGGCTAGAGAGACTTTCACACCTAACAAGTCTTGTTGTTACAAAACAGATGCATAGATTGTGCTGTTTTAATTGTTGAATTTCTAATCAAATGTTTGAAGCACCAAATATCACCTACAGAATCTTGCCCCGGAATGCTAAGAACCCTTGCCCCAAAAATGCTTAATCAAGGTTACCAAACTGATTGAAACGTTACTGTGTTTTCCTTATCATTCCCTGAAGCAATCCAGTTAGAATTGGTACAATATGACCATGATGATACAAAATTTAGTGTTTGCTCAATTGATCCAAAAAGTATTGTTGGACAGTTAATAGAATGATTTAATAGAATGACCTGTATCTTGTGCAAGATAAATACTAATGCTTGTGTCATGTCTGCATGAAAACTAGCCTAAGTGGTCCAGCATAGCAGAAGAACCCAAGGTTACAGAAAGCACTAGGCCGCTTAGGCGTTTGACCCGACGCCTAGAGCCTAAGTGGAGACCTAGGCAGGGTCTAGGCGTTTTCATATTTTTTTAGTTTTTAATTATAATTACTGATAGTAAATGCCAATGTTATAGAAAATTTACGCGCGGAACTAACACCTACACATATTTCTTAAGTGGTAGCGGAGGAGGTTTGCTACAGGTTGGGTGAGGTAGACGTGGTGTTTATAATTGAAGTTTGGAGGAGGTTGGAGGACATGGAGGCTGCAACGGAGAAAATCTCGATTACTGCCTAAAAAGTACAGTCCATGTAGGTAGATCATGCTCTCCTAGACACTCAAAATTTAGATGGATTGCCTAGACGCGGAGGCTTTTTAAAACATTGGAAAAACCTGAATGGAACTGTAACTGTCATCACAGTGACCTTTTATCTTGTTTCCAACTCTTCTCATAGACTATTAACTTTTAACTTTGTGCCTAAAATTGCATAACAAGTTTTTTCTACCCGCTAACTAACATCTAGGATTCTTTGGCAAGCCCTTCTCTTGTTGACTATCAAGGTGGCCAAAGCAGAAAAACTTAAAAGGTTGATGTCAGACTGTCGGCCTTTATTTTAAGGTAATCAAATATCTATTAAATTTAAGCCTTCTGTCTCACCCTGGACTGGGGAGCCCATTGACGCGATATAAGCCCTCGGACCCACTGAGTGCAACAATTATTTTGCTCAAACCATTGCCAAAATGACCAACTATTGTTACCATTGATTCTCATGATCCATCTTATAAATTCATACATACTTTGTAAATTCCCAATGTGGTACAAATAAATGGTATCACAATCTGTCCGACTCAAGAACGCAATGTCCTAGTCACGGCATGACAAAAGTTCATCCCTCAATCACCATCATGAAATGTAGATTCCATATGTGGTCCCATTGGACTTACGCGAGGTGGCACTTAGCATCACATTACACTTAGTTTCACACTTCCAACTGGCTAACTACTCTCATACCATTAGTCATGTTCTGCACCTGTGAGCCCATTGTCGCAATGTGAGCCCTGAGACCCTCTGAGTGCAACATGACGTTTGGTTCAAACCAGTGCCAAAATAACTAGTCATTATTACACTTCATTTGCATGACCCACCTTATAAACCTATCCATACTTCTGTAAAATCCTGATGTGGGACAAATAAATGGGGGTTTAACTCCTTTTAAGTGCAGGATTGTGATAATGAATCTGATCCTGACAAGGAAAAATTTTGCATGGAGGAAGAGTTTACCTTCAGTAAAGGGACAATATGTCCCTAATACTGCATAACTGGAAGTCTCAATTGAAAAGTCGTGAAGATGTGTAGTATGGCAATGAAAGGAGCCAAAAACATATACCGTTGAATAGTTTAAGCCAGTTGCTTAACGTTACATCCATGTGGAAGTCCTTCTAACTATTATACCAAAACTCTGAAGTTATGGTAATGATTGAGGGTTATAGTTTTATATTCTAACAATACACATGAATGTAAATTCCACTAACAAATAAAAGAAATAGTTCGCAAATCATAATGCATTTTCAAAAAGTTAAAAAGTTTCCTCCATAAAAAATATTAGTCAGGTACTTAAGTTATATTTAAAAACCTAACTGTATAACGGTAGAAAGAATCTAACAGTGTGTTTAAGCTAAATTAAATACCTCTTTCATTTTATCTCCAGATACAACAATACCTTTGGAATCATATGCTTCGAACTTCTGTAAGAAGTAAAAAAAAAAAAAGTTTTGTAACTATATTACAGTCAATAATTGATGATGTTATGGTGGTTGCATGTAGAAACTAGAGTAAATGAATTAAAAACATACAACAACAGGCATAACATGAGTACTGCCAACTGAAAACAGAGTAAAACTTTTAATGAAGCTCAATACCATCCTTGTCAACATACTCGTACTGCATCAAAAGGAAATGAAAAAGAATAATACTAAGCTGTACAATGCATGTAGGGTATAGAATTTTTTTGAATGTTCAATATGAGAGAGGATGTAATAGTTTAAAATTACTGTTCAAGGTAAATTTCAGATATTGTGAGATGAAACTTGTTTACCCTCATGAAGTTGTCATTTCTTATAGGTCCTACACAACAACATAGAAAACATGTAGAAATTCTCACATCTGCTAATTCTAAGACGTGGATTGGGTATAAACTTACAGAGTTATACCTTTCTCATGCCAATACCTGCAAAAAGACTTGCTTATATCTGAATGACACCTCATAAACTCAGCTAAGTTGAAGACAGAGTTTAGTTTGCTTCTCCAAAAGTACTAGTTACAGGCTTGCAAAGATGTACAGATGTACAAAAGGGCACAAATAATGTCAATAGTTTGTAGGCCCAACTGCATCTAATGACAGGTTAAAGTGGAAATACAAAAAGGTCAATTATTCCCAAAACTGAATCTGATTTACTGGTTAACATCCCGATCCACTTAACAAGATTGGAGTCCGAATCCCAATTAACAATGAAGTCAAGCCAGATCACAAAATCTGACAATTCTCACCAGAGGTAAGACATGCTGATTGATCTCGTTCAGACCTAACTATGAGCTGATCCCATTAGCCCATTCAATAGCAGGACTAAGAGTACAGGTCAAGGTCCAAGAAACATGTGACATTAGTTGATATATATGCATTTTTGTAACCCTGTTGGCATTAATAAGGGATGCCTATAAGATCGGCAACATGCAAAACGATAAACAGTAATTTAGCTGTTAACAGAGAACTATATGAACTGGATCACGGTATTGTGTATGTTGCTCAATTAATTCTGCAGTTAAATTAAAAAATAATATTATTTACTGAAATACCAAGAATGTGTTCGACTCATGAAAGCACTTCCTGTGAAGGAGAAATAAATAAACCGTGCAAATACTAGTTCGCATCATAATCTGACAAAAACCTATATTATCAGCATTGGAGCAATAACAAGAGAGATGAAAGCAGAATTAACCTGCTTAGCAATAAATTCAATTGTAAATACTAGTTCACATCATAATCGGAGGAAAACCTATATTGTCAGCACTAGAGCAATAAAGATTAGAGGGATGGAAGAAGAATTAACCTGCTTAGCAATAAATTCAATTGTAAGTTGTACGAAAGCTTTGTCCAAATTATCTTTATCTATGGCAATCTGCAGAAATAGCATGTCAAGAAGTGAAACACTGAGAGGAACCAAAATGAGTAAACATATCACAATCATTATTATAACAGTGCAAATTCTGGGGATTTAGAATTGCAATTGATTATCCAAGGTTCATCTCCTTGTCTCTTGTCCTTTTACATAAAAGCTCTATCAATTACAAAGTTACGATTTAAAGCAGATTAAATACGTTGTTTTGTGTAGAATGTGCCATGTAATTCACATATATAGATTTGGAAAGATTCTTGCACATGCGTTGCATGCATCTGAACTATAGGGGATCCACTGAATGCACATTAAAATCTCAAAATGAAATAGTGAAAATGTATTTTATGTGTGAGATTTTCAATGACCAAAAAGCTGACTGTGACCTTTATCACATTGAGAGCTATAGCATCAACTACAAAAACATTATCTGCTCTGAAGAAAAAAAAAACATAATAAGAAGAAATGTCACTCACCATTCGAGCCCGTAATGTTCGAATACTAACAATAGGTTCCACCAATTCCCAGTGAACACTGCTCCACATCGATTCTCTTCGTTTCAGTTCATTCTTCAGGGTCTTCAATCAAAACAGCAGCATCAAATTGTTAGTTATAAAATATGACGCTTTAAAGCAGCCGGGGAACGAGACACTTGTGTTCAAAGGATAAAGGATAGAGCACAGAAGAGAAGATATCTTACAGAATACATCTTCTCTGTAGATGCTTTCCTTAAAGATTTTATATCCCCAATTGCCATTAGAGTATTAATCTGAAAAAATAATGAGTGAGCAAACATAACCGACTTATTCAGACATAGAAGATTGTATATAATACGCCTTGATTGAGAATATAAAGAATGAACTACAAGTGAAGAATTTGGAACTTGGAAGATGTGTGCCCTGGTTCTTGAGAATAGTTCCTTGAACTTTTATGTAAATACCTTGGAAATAGAAAATAAAATCAGTGGAGAAGAACCTTGACAGGAACTAACATCAAATCAGTAATGGATATATCATTATCAAGGCTTCCAACTAGCTAACAGGTATGTATATAATCATATTTGCGTGCATGCACAAGCGCGCTTGTGTATCTCTGACTGCATGCATTATTAATCCAGTGCATGCTTGGTGCTGCCAGGATGATTTGAGCCCAAGTGCTCCAGGTGAAAATTATATGGCTAGCTATTCAAATTGAAATGCATACTCTGGCTGAAACTCGTTATACCCGCCGTCCATAAACTAAGGATCTCATTTCTTTTCAATGTTCTAGTACTATGCAGGAAGTAGTTACAAACTTACAATACAGAACGACATCAAATAAATGATTAAACTATAGTTTAACTGTATACGTAATAATCTTTTTAGCCAAAATGATACATATACAGTTGTCATTATTGAGTTGAACAAACTTATAACTGAACCATACATGTTGCAGACCTTATTTTATTAGCTGATCAATACAAAAAGAGTACCGTTTTTTTTCCATTCCTACACATAAGGTGGCAATAAAATGTTCACAACATCAGGTGGACTAAACCTATAGTTGAACCACCCATACACATAAGCAACTGTGACATCACTCCCTTGCATTTCAGAGAAACATATTTTCAAGTTAAGATATACTGTTCAAAGATCTTTCTTCTACCCCTGAAGGAATATTGATATTCTAATTAATTGTTCTCATTTGCATTTTTAAAGTTACCTTGTTTAGGTTTATGGTCTGAAGAATCATGATGTCTCACCTTTAAGGTTTTCTTTTCTCACTTTTAAAGATGTCTTTAAACCTCCTTGCAGGTTTTGGGTTGTCAATTGATATAACCAACAGCAAGAAAATTGGCAAGAAAGGGCAAAAAAAATTTAGAGCATTTCTATATCAACTTTTCTTCTCTAGGACATCCAAAGCTTTCCACTTTTTTCGGTAGAATATCTGTAGTTCAACTGTATTTTCACATTGTAGATTGCTCATTATGTATATACTATGTAAGAACAGTCGTGCATTTGTAACTCCCAGAAGAAGAAAATTGTATCATAGATTAATAGAGTCATACATCACTGAAAATCACTCTTTTTCTTGTATTTCCAAATTTACATTGATTTCTTTGAATTTTGTATTTCATGCATTCTTGTTGCTTATGGAGCAATCGCAACCACTACTCAGTGCATCAGCCAATATGCTACCCCAAATGTTACCATAATGATAACTAGCCTAAGTTGAGACCCTGCTTGAGACTACGATTTAAACTTTTAGGTATTGAAATTATACTTATCTTATGTTCATTTTTACCACTTAAAACAAGAATGAACAGAAAAAATGAAGTTTCAAATGAAAACCACTACTAAGGTAAAGATCTTCTATGAAGCAAAATCGTAATAAAAATGGTTAATATCTACTTAAAAATCTCAATATAGTATATCATATCATACAATTGTCAAGTTTCATCAGGAAATTGTAGTAGGCTAGTAGCATATGCAACACACGAAGATTTTTGCCTAAGTCTTCTTAAAAGTTTTTGATAGTCCCAAAAGGACAAAAGGAGGGAAGAAAGGTTTCTCTTTCGGCGCATTTTACTTGTGATGAAGCTTCATGTGTTTATTATATATTTTCCAAGCATAGACCCACATGTAAGTAGTTTTCTCGCAGGAGTGAATTGAGTGATGTAACAGCAGGAACAAGTGAATACTTGTGCCTGGTGGTTAGTATGATCTTTAAAAGGATTCAAGGATGTCATTAATAGAAGCGAGGTGGTTACTCTCTTCAATTGCAAAGAGAAAACTAATAAATTTCTGCTAGAATTAACAAGTAGATATAGTTCCAGCCAAATGAGTCGATGTCAATGTGAGAAAGTGTACTTTCTATGTTGGAGATGCTAAATAACAAACTTATGTATATATGTTTATTCCTGCCTGTCTAGCAAGGTAATCTTAGTCAAAAGCTCTAATTTACTTAATTACTTATGCACAAAAACAGAAGAAGAAACACAAAACTTCAACGATTCTATGCTAAATAACAAACTTATGTATATATGTTTATTCCTGCCTGTCTAGCAAGGTAATCTTAGTCAAAACTCAAAAGCTCTAATTTACTTAATTACTTATGCACAAAAACAGAAGAAGAAACACAAAACTTCAACGATTCTATCGGAGTGAGCGTAAAGGTGTTTCTCAGTTAAGTAGTGAAAATGAATTATCATCATAAATCATCTAAGTTTTCCCCATCCATGGGGTTGACTATGGAGCATGAAAAGTCCGATAAAGATGGGATCAAGGTTTACAACCTGTTGTCAATTTTGTTACCAGACTTAGAACTCTGCTAACTGGTGCCAACCATAAAATTCACAGCCATGGTGACTACAGGTATGCCACATAGAGTTGATGGTGAGCTAACAGGTAGTAAACTATATTCCTTTGGAAAAGAAGTTTATGTGCATGCAACAGAGAACAAAGTTTGATATTGCTCCAGATTAAAGAGTTTAAATAAAGAGGAAAGGGGCAGATTTCCTACAAACAATTGTCTTCATCTCTATGACACAAAATAAGGAAAAAATTAAACCAAATCAAAATATAAATAAATAGATAAATAAATAAATCAAGGAACATGATCTGCAGACATTCTGAAAATAAAACTAACATTATGGCATAACTATTCTAAATTATTAAGAGGCTATTCAGTTAGTACATTTCAACATACCTCCTTGTATAGTCGTACTGCATGCTGATAGAACAGTTTTTTAGAGTATCCGGTTGTTTTCCTCAGCCTGGTAATGGCATATGCGCTCTTCAACTGTAGGATAGAAAAAAAAAACATAAACAACACTTGATTTAAAATGTATTAAGGAGAAAAAGAACAAAAACAAAAGAAAACATTTTGGAGTTTATGGAGCTATCTCTCCATAAATGCATGCATATGGAAAAATCATCACAACATGCATAAAAAATTGCATGTATAGGCGTGATAAAGATTTTTTTTTCCCTGATGCAAGATCATAAAATGAGTCAAGAAGAGTCATACAATTATGTCCAAAAAATCATTAGCTCAAACATACAAAACATGCAAGCGTGCGCACAGGGATTCATGGACAAGTTTCGCAGCTTGGACAAGGACAGACACAGACATGCATACATAGACATGCAAGCACACACAAATGCATGCACACATGTGAACTTAGACACAAATAAACACAGTAAATTCGTGGACAAGCTCAGCTGCTCAAATGGACACGCAGTCGCAAACTCATAAATAGAAGAGAATGCTCTTGCTCTCGATCAGAAAATGAAATGGCCAAGAGAAGTCTAGAATTGGTCAGACAAACTCACAAATAGGAGATAATTCTTCTCCTTCCCCATCCAATTTCATTTGCTGGTGAAACCAGCATTAAATAGTTCATGTAACTTTTTCAATCGTTTGAAGAGAGAATTCTTTGTGGCCAGGAAAATTTTCAAATAGTTTCAAAATGAGCATGAAGAAATGGAGTATCTTCTTTTCTTCGCGCTAACACACAGGAACATGGCCACAAAAAAAAAATTACTGAGATAAAAATAACATACCTAGAAACAGGAGAACAAAAGGAGAAACTTACACGCAGGGGAGAGGGAGGGGCAATGTTGTTTTGTAGTTCATCTTACAGTAGCTGAACAGTTTTATGATGTAGTGCAACTTATGTTTGTTCCTCTAGTACTTGTCAGAAGAGGTGAGGAATAACATGAAGGTGTTCATTAAAAACTGACCACGAATTTGCTAAAACAAATTAACATACTTATCATAAGACAACCAAACTCCTAAGATGACGTAAGCAAGTGACCAAAAATGTATATATGAATGGGACTCAAAAACAAATATTTGTCTCGCCAGCTTCAACAATAAAAACGTACCAACTACAAGGAAAATCGCCCTAAAGAAACAATCTGTATAATTGACCAAGAGATTAAATTTAGAGTACACAAAAATATATATATATGGCCCAATACATTAATCATGATTTAAGCAATATATTGTAAGCTTAATGTTAAGGAAAAAGGGGGTTGGAGGGGGGGGGGATGAGATAATAAGATAAACTACGCTTTCCAAGAAAGATAACATATAAAACCTGCAACTCGGAAGGAGTAATCTTGAATCAGCATGCAAATAAGAATACCTCCAGAATGGCATCCTCCTTCGTTCTTTTCCAACCACTTCGAGTAAACCATCTGAATCGGAATAGTATTGAGATCTATTAGTCATACATATGACTATAGAAAGAGAGCAACATGACCTACTAGTAAAGAATCATCATGATCCAATAGTTTATCCCCTTTGTAGGAGAAAGAGAGCAACATGACCTACTAGTAAAGAATCATCATGATCCAATAGTTTATCCCCTTTGTAGGCAAAATTGTAGTAAAAAACCTACTAGTAAAGAATCATCATGATCCAATAGTTTATCCCCTTTGTAGGCAAAATTGTAGTAAAAAAATGTACTCAAGGAGCTCTCTAGAGTTTTATGCTAAGAAGTTTGAACCACCTTTATGAGGTGTTTGAGCCATAAAAGCATGAGAAATGCATGTAATATTTCTCTTTAAAAAATGAAGGAATTCATGTTACAAGGCCATATCATGGATTTTGCTTGTCCTTCTTCAATGGAATGGCAATAACTCACCTTTAATTTGTTCTCGTTCAAAACGTTTACATGCTAGTTATATAAAAGTAGCTCCCATATCTAAATCTAAGCAATTTTTCTAAAAAGAATATGCCGACTATACATAGGCTTTAGTGTGATGTAGATACCATATATCCATCATACTATAGAAAGGACATGAATCACAAAGCACTACAAATGGGATTGCTGACCACTGAAAAACACATAAGAGCAGGGAGCAAATGTCCAGTACATAAAATGTGCTTACCAATCCAAACTCCCAAATCCATATAATATCAGCACTATGCACATGAAAATAGACGAAACAACGATCCTGAAAACCTTTTAAAAAAAATCTTCTATTACAATGGCAGGAATAACCAGGTTTGCCATCTAGAATTCTCAACTAAGCAATATTCTGGCAGCTACAGAAAGTCCTCTACCATTGTGGATTTTCAAAAACAAAACTCAAAGATATTGCTACTCTAAGGTGGTATAAATTGGAATGCAGGTCTCAATGCATGCACTAATTGTCATTTTAGGGGCGGTTTGCTTGGACGGAAATGGAGTTACAAGAGTAAATAGAGCAACTGGATTTGTAAGTAAATTGTTTGCTTTGCAACTTTGTAGTTAGGAAAGGTAAATGGACTTGCATTTTGTAGAAAAAACTTGCAGCAAATGCTACAGCTAATTGGTGGGAGGAAAAACTGCAAGGTTCAAAAAAGGAAATTTAAAAATAAAAATAAATTCACCTCGTGAAAAAAAATCTTTTTAAATCCAAATAGAAAAGCCTATCTACACCCAAGTTTCCTTATATGGCAAACTTATGTAGCTTTTCCACTAATTTTTTTTCAACCAAACACTAAATTTACATTTGAAAGACATTTGCTACACTATAATTGCAGATATCCAAACAATGCATATGAAATTGACTTCATGCAACAAATGTTGCATGCAAACATTTGATGATGCAAAATTTGCTGCAATTTGTTTTTACAGCAAATTGCCTCTTAATGCAAGGTGATGAAGTTAAAATTTAACAGCTCAATCCTGCCCTTTGAAGAAAGAGATGCCTCCGAAAGTAAAAGACCAACCATAAAGAACAGCATGAGGTTTCAAATAGACAAATAGTCAACAAATCACCATTTGCAGTAGCACCGTAATCCAGATAAATAAAACGCTATGTGCTATTAACCAAGCTATAGATTTGAGACAAATAAGAAAGTATCACTTAGAAGACTTAGAATAGCAAGGCGCGCCACCTTCTCAAATAAGGATGGGCACGTCGAAAGTATACCTTGTCTGAACTACACGAAAAGCTATATAAAGAATTACTTATAACTGTAAAAAATTCAGAAGAGGTGAAGTCTTCGAAGATCTAGCATATAATAAATGTTCACTTGTTAATATGACAAAAGAAAAAATTTATATGACTAGGATGATAGCTACCTTTGCCAAAAAGAAATAGGTTCACGAGGCTTATATGGTTCATAGACAAAACCAGGGCTCAGCATGGCCACCTTTAAGGCAACCTGCACAAGTGAGAATCATATCAAACTATTTTGCTGGATTAACCATTTATAATGGATAACTACAGACTACTTGAAAGCAAATAACAAATAAAGACAGTACAAATAAAAGAGTGATTTTTCCTAACAGTGCAAAAATGAACTTGGACTTTTCATTAGAGCACGTATTTTATTTACATCATCTAACTTTAAAAAATGCCATGAAGTAATCGGTATCTACAGTTATGGCATTCGCATATCCTGAGGTGTAATCCTGAACAGACTATCTGTTCCATCTGAAGTTCGATTGCAAGCAAATAAAAGAATAGGTGTGCTTGTGCCCTACAAACTAGGGCATGGTAGCTGTCTAGGTGATCGAAATATGGTAGGTAAGGAAATGCTATGGAACGAGATTTCCCAAAGAGAAAAGGCCCTTTCTTCCATAGATGTACAGGAACCTACCCAACCTAACTGAGTGAATTGACGATAACGTATGAACCATGAAGATACAAAGAATAGGATAACCAAGTTTGATAGGGCCCAAATACCAAAAGGTTGGGAGGGAGGGGGACTTTAGAGATCAGAATGGATAGTCAGAGTCAAGATATAAGTATTTTCAGCATCTAATTCAAAGGGCTTATCTATGTCTCAGCTAAAAAGATGTTTAAGCAACTGGTGCATTATAGGAACATTCGTGTATGAGGTCCGAAATCCAACGAATTCAACATATAAGAACAAATGTCTAGCACACTTTTTTTTGTGCATGCATTATGCATGTAACGTTTACCCTTCTCTTCTTTTCCTATAGATATGTAATAGAGAGCTTCAATTAATCATTCGCTTCTTGCTATGAATAAAATTCCATTATCAGCAATGAATAATATTTCTCCTAAATGGATAAAGTTTTTTGTTAGCATTTCCGATTGGACTAAACACTGCATCAATCATCCTAAATGGATAAATATGTTTTGCTTTCATTGGATATGGGGAACTGGTGGATTTTCTTTAGAAAATATTTTAATTATAGAATTTATCATCATGAGCACACTATTGCACAACATGCCAACAAAGATGTTCTAGAGATTACACATTGCAATAGCACAGGCACGGCAGCATCGTGTACAATACATTTGTCTGACAGAACATGGATTCATAAGAGTATCTTTTAATAGTTTTTGAGTTTTTCTTATTTATCAAGTCCAATTGTGAGGAAATATTTTTGCTGCTCTATATATAGGTCAATATGCCAAATTATATTATTGACAAGACTCATAATTCCCATCTCTTTCTCAATTCCAATGTGAAATATTGGCAAATTACATGACCAAGCCGATGATCCCATACTACTTATCTACACCAGAACTTATGCTTCTACCTAATAACATGAAGCCAATAGTAAACTACTTGACACCAAATCCCCCTTCAAAATATCACACCATTGAGGAAGAAAATAAAGATATATTTGATCCCCTACTCGTTATCTACACTCAAACTTCTGTTTGTACAAAATATCTTTGAGTCAATAATAAATTACCTGACACTAACCCTGTTTCTAAATATTAATGCATGAAAGAACAAAACCAAACACCATTCCAATCACCAGTGCATTGGGGAAAAAAACCCAACAAAAAGAGAATTTATACAACACCTGCCGTGCTCCACGAGGCAATTTTTCTGTGGATGTCGACATCAATCTAGCACTTCTAGCATTGACTGGGAGCTCAGAAACCTGAAGCTAAAAACACATAATTAAAAAAGACAAAAAAAAAAGGCCCAGAAGTTGCAAAATCATCAAAATCTGATCAATTTACCTCATGGTCCGATGCCGAAACCATAGCATTCTGATCAAGAATGTTTTTAATTGTATAAGAGCATGTTACAGTACTCGGATGGCTGATTCCTGATTAAAAAAATTACTCTTTCACCAACAAATTTGTAATTGATCGAAACAAGCAGAGAAGATTGACAACTTACCTCCATTTGCTGCAACCGAACAGATCCGATAGCTTCGAGAACTGAAGAAAAACAAAGTAAATGTGTGAGAATTTAGCATTTGAATCGAAAAATGAGGAACGGAGAGAGAGACGAGATTTACATAGAGGGGGTCTGCAAAGGTTGCCACGATCGATGGAGACGACGAATCAATTGGAATCGAGCTAAAGCCATTCGTACGGATCTTGTTGAGATTGAGAAAGAGGGTGAGCACTAAAACCCTAGGAAAAGTGAAGAAGGGTTTAAGCTTCGAGCGGACAAAATGGAGGAAGAATTTTTTTTCCGGACAAATTTTCAAAACCAACCCTTTTAGCATTTTATTTGCAAAAAAAGACCTATTTTGAAAATAATTACAAAAACCGACCTGTTTTCAGCCCAGCGCTGAAAACAGGTCGGTTTTTGTAAAAAAGTCTCCGAAACATCACGGGAGTTCAACTCCCGTGAAGTTTATCGAGAAATTAAACTTCACGGGAGTTGAACTCCCGTGAAGCTTAATTTTGCTTAAAACTCCACGGGAGTTCAACTCCCGTGGAGTTACAGTCGAAAATTTCCAGCGAACCGAGTCTCTGGCAAATTGTGACTGCAACTTCACGGGAGTTGAAATCCCGTGAAGTTGCAGTGCCAAATTTCCAGAGACTCGATCTCTGGCAAATTTTCGACTGTAACTCCACGGGAGTTGAACTCCCGTGGAGTTTTAAGCAAAATTAAGCTTCACGGGAGTTCAACTCCCGTGAAGTTTAATTTCTCGATAAACTTCACGGGAGTTGAACTCCCGTGATGTTTCGGAGACTTTTTTTACAAAAACCGACCTGTTTTCAGCGCTGGGCTGAAAACAGGTCGGTTTTTGTAATTATTTTCAAAATAGGTCGTTTTTTGCAAATAAAATGCTAAAAGGGTTGGTTTTGAAAATTTGTCCTCGGGGATGGAGGAGCCGTTTTTGCCTTTTTTCCAGCTGCGTTTTCATTTGCCGTTACCTTTTATGAAAAGCCCACTGACTTCTCAGAATTTGCATGTTCGTCCAAAGCGAAAAAATAATAATAATGGAGTAGCTTATCTAACTACCAGTTAGGGAGTATATTAGACAATTTTTTGCTAAAACCTTGGGATCTTTGATAATATAATTGTTTCTAGTTTGTATAATAAGTATTTTTGCTTCATATTATAATGATGAAAGAGAATTGACGTTAGTGAACATAATACTGATTAAATAGAAATATTAGTAGGTTAGCAACTAATGATTAATGAACCAGTTCCCTTGTTTTCCATCTAATTGTATAAAAAAAAATCAGAAAATTCAAGTTTTTAAATTTATTAAACACGCTCAATGCTCTTTATTTTAAAAAATATTTCACCAAATCATTATGTTTGAGATACACAAATTAACAAGGTGTGACCAAATTGCCAATTACTCTTGGTATAAATATAAAACCTTCAGGTGTATTTACGGAAGAATCCCTACCTTAATTAGCCCAGGAAACTTTACAAAATATGTACTTCAAGACAATCAAATACTTAGTATCTTTTACGTTGCTATCAAACGCTTCTTGTTCTTGTTTAATTAAGAACAATCCAGCTATTTCGATATTCCCAAAGTGACGAAAAGACTACTGAGGTTGTGTTTATTTTTAGCTTGGAATAAGGGGTTAGCAAAGGAATTCATTTCGTTTTTGTCTTCTTAAAGTTCAAGTTTAGTTATCATTAGAGCTAATGAATTACTTTTGGACAAAAGACAAGCTGTGTCGGGACTATCTCGGCAGATAGGTGCAAGAGAATGTATATCGACCTCCGGCGGTGTATAGGGTCTCCACTTGAACTGAAATAAAATAAAACATTTATCAGTATCATACAGAAAAACTATAATATTCATACTTCTTGAGTTTTATATTTACCTGTTCATGTGGTTTGCAATTATCTAACTCACGTGAGTATCACCTCAGTGTGGTTTGCAATTATCCTGTTGTGGAGAACAGAACAAGTGGCATTCAAATATCAAGTGACTACGATATGGGTCTCATTCATGTCTTACACGACGAGAAGCGTTCGGTCGAATTGTTCATTGAAAAACATCAGAGAGATTTGGGCAAATCGTTGAACTACGAAGGAATGTATTCCCGCATGTTGGAGGATCCTGAAGTTGATTCTGTAGGCTTTTTATCTCCTCAACAAGATGAATGTTGGACACAATCACAATACATGAGCGGTCCTTCGTTCGTGGGCACTTCGAATGCTTTCGATACTAACACGGGAATTCAAGAAGATAATGCAAGTGTTGAATCCGAGAATGATGAAGAGGAGGGATTACAAATTAATAGCATGACCTTGATAGATCGTGATGACGGGGAAAACCAACACATCGACGGGGCTTATGTTAATAATGAGTATGTCGGCTTAGAGGATCCGCCGCCCGATGAACTTCAAGGAGATGAATGGATTGATAACTCCGCGATGGAAAGTGTTCCTATTGGCACTAATAGCGGTGTTGATACACAGGCCGAGGACTTCTCATTCATCAAGGGAGATCTTTACGAGAGTAAGGAGAAATTGATCCATGCTATTCGCACGTATTCCATTGCAAAAAATGTGAAGTTCAGGCCAACCAAAAATAATACTACAAGCTATAATGTGGTTTGTTTCTATCGCAAAGATGACGATGTCGAAGATAATAGTGGACACCACGACGGCAATGCGAGGTGTCCGTGGAAGCTTAATTCACGCTCGGGTTCAAGAGTAGGTGGGCAATTCAAAATCACGGCATACAATGGACTCCACACTTGTAGCAATCCTCGATTAGAGATGAATAACAAGAATGCGTCCTCTTCTTTTATATATCGATTGATTTTACCGCATCTGAGGGAGGATCTTGATCTAAGGCCGAAAGATATCCGTCTTTTAGTGCATAAAGCCACCAACTTGGATGTATCATATCACAAGTGTTGGAATGCTAGGAGGAAGGCGATGATAAAAATATTCGGGGATTGGGATAAATCGTATGAGATCTTACCTCATTATCTTGAAGCACTCAAAAGAGAAAATCCGGGGACTGTCTACGAAGTATCTTCGGACCCCGTTGATGGCGGAGAACGGCGGTTCACCGGTGTATTTTGGGCATTTGGGCCCTGTATTGAGGGGTTTCGTCATTGCCGTCCTCCTTGCTGCGGTGGCGACGGCACAGGGGCGGAACGAAGGGTTAGGGTTTTGGGCTGTCGGGCTGGGCACGCGCGGTTATATAGGGGAGCCAAAACTCCACGGGAGGTCAACTCCCGTGGAGTTTCAGTCGAAATCCCGTGAAGTTTAATTTCTCGATAAACTTCACGGGAGTTGAACTCCCGTGATGTTTCGGAGACTTTTTTACAAAAACCGACCTGTTTTCAGCGCTGGGCTGAAAACAGGTCGGTTTTTGTAATTATTTTCAAAATAGGTCGTTTTTTGCAAATAAAATACTAAAAGGGTTGGTTTTGAAAATTTGTCCTTTTTTTTCCTCGGGTTAGTATCAGCCAACTCGCTTAATTTTAGATGAATAATATTGGAAAGGCCCGCTTACCTTACAAAATGGACAAATAATTATTTTCAAAATAGGTCGTTTTTTGCAAATAAAATACTAAAAGGGTTGGTTTTGAAAATTTGTCCTTTTTTTTCCTCGGGTTAGTATCAGCCAACTCGCTTAATTTTAGATGAATAATATTGGAAAGGCCCGCTTACCTTACAAAATGGACAAATTTTCAAAAACGTCTTGTTCAGAAACTTATTTGCTAAAATAACTTATTCCGAAATTATTTACCAAATTCAACTCAGCTTGAATTTCGCGAAAAAGTCATGGGACTTAAAAACCCGTGAAGTTTAAGCCTCTCATAACCAACTTGATTAGGAGGCCCAAACTTTTACACGACTTCAAATCCCGTGAAGTTTCAGGCTAAAATCGCTCTCTGGAATTCAGTCTGCAACTCCACGAGACTTGAAGTCTCGTGGAGTTGTAGGTTTTAAAAAAACATGCACAGAATGTGTGCATGTTTTTTATATACACGAAAAAAATTCCAACAATATATACACATATTTCCGCCTCATTCACAATAATATACATAAAATTTTCGCCTCATTCATAACAATATACATAAATCAAACAATACACACAAAATCACATACATACTGAATTACAACAATATTCATAAAATTCAACCATGATTCAAATAATACACAATAAAATCACATATATAAACAATAATCGATCCACAAAATTAACAAATTTGAACAATCTAACCATATCGTTCTTGAAATTCACAGAACAGGCTTGATTGGCCGCTTATCACTGCTTTGATTGAGAGGTGGAGGCCAGAGACCAACACCTTTCACATGTATATAGAGGAGTGCACGATCACTTTACAGGACGTGGCCGTCATACTTGGGCTCCGGATTGATGGACCGGTAGTTACGGGCACCGACGATCATAGTTGGCCGGAGGTATGTGGCCGGCTACTTGGACAGGTTCCCGACTTGAGGAGTGGTGCGATGAAGCTATCGTGGCTTCGTCAGACATTTCAGGGCGACATACCAGAGGATGCCTCTGATGAGACGCTCCAGTTTCATGCTCGTGCATACATATTGCACATGATAGGGTGCGTACTATTTCCTGATGCGAGCAAGACTCTCGTACATGCACGATGGCTGCCACTGCTGGAGGATTTTGGTGTATGCGGGGCACTATCGTGGGGCAGTGCGGTGTTGGCATATTTGTATCGAGAATTGAGTAGAGTATCTCTGATGCAGAATAAAGAATTCAAGGGATGATGTACGTTGATACAGATTTGGTCATGGGAGCGCATTCATATTGGACGACCCACTTTACTTATGCACCGTGACTTAGAGGGGCAGTATCCGTTGGCATACAGGTATAATTGTACACACACATATTTCATTCGTAACCTGAATATTTGTACTTATATATTCGCTATTCTGCATATAGGTATAATGTGCGATACGCTCAGTACAAATCAGCGACGCGTCACCGTCAGTTTTACCGAAATGATCTTGATGGCCTCCAGCATGAACAGGTAAATATAAAACTCAAGAAGTATGAATATTATAGTTTTTCTGTA